GAATAAGATGGTAGGGTTGCCTACACACAGCGTCACACAAACTGGTTTCTACGAGGGCTGGCCCGTTTGCGGCTGTTCACGTATATAGCCTTGAAGCGCTTTGTGATTGTAGCGCATCAAACGCATTACAGCGCATTATTGCGTCCCGTCGCGCATTACAGCGAGTTACAGCGCGTTGGAGCGTCATAGAAAGTGTAAACGCTGCCTAGGGAAATGCCCTACGCGTGAACCGAGATGTGTCTTTCTTGAAAGTGTATCGTTACATAGCCCTTGTGAAAACGCAGAGTTTCCTGAAGATTATCTAACGGATTGATACTATCAGATTGATATTGTAACTAAGTGCTGAAATAATGAGCTACAAGTACAATCTGAAATCTGGAGCACAACCTGTTTTAACTATTCAGAAGTCTGTTCTTTGTATGATGCGTACATCTTTGTTAAGAAACCTGCCCCTGCACCACTGAAGATACGTCCTCCAAAGGAAACAGGAATGAAGGGAACCTACGATCCGAATTATCAAACTCTTGTTGGATTGAACAACGACGACGTCTTCAAGCGGAAGGTACGACGCAAAGTAACGCTGGTACAAACAGTGCAAATATTTAGTAGGGAAGATGCTTCTGTTTGGTGACGCTTGTGTTTAGCGGTCACACCTAACCATGACCGATCAATTACTCCATTTCTTAAAACATTTCTAGTATTCCCCACTCTTCTGTGAATAGCATTACTTACAAAGAGAACAGGAACTTCTAAGAGCATCTCGTTCTTGAACGTTTGAGAACTGTAGTTACACTCCTTATCCCTGAGCTAGAGTAGACGTGGTCATTTGAACATGGCACGGAACTGGTTACTCGTGGAATATCATCTCAGAAAGCTTCCGATTTCTTTTCATATACATCGTGTGTAAAGCTTACATGATAAATGCCATGGGAGAACTGAGGTTCTTCCCCAATCTTCTAAGCATTTGTGGCATTCTCACATAACTTTACACCACACTGAAACTTTTACCCGCTTTCTCGTGGGAGCACGACACGAAGGGGGGGGGGGCGCATGAGAGTAAAGACCCTGTAAATAGCCGCTGTGAATTTACCATCTGTCCCTCAGTTACAGAGTAATTTTTCTGGTCTAATCAAGCTCACCATCTCATTTTGCACCACGCGGACACTACTCCTCACAGCATGTATTACCTTTCTTACAGTGGTCGTAAGTTAGAGAGAAAGGGACAATGGTTAATTTACAGGGGCCTGTTTATTGCCCTCGATCGACGTTGAAGAGCGGTCGATTTCGAGCATGAAAGGTTTCGGTCTAGTAGTCGATTTTTTTTCAACAGAAATTAAAGGAATTGGAACCCTCAATCAGAACAAAGAAGTTTGAGCAAAAATATCAAGAAGTAATACAACTCCCTCTGAGCAAAGCTTGTTACTTGTACATCAGCTCCACAAGATTGCACATATATATGTTGTTGTATCTTTGTTATCCTCAAAGCTATAACACCATTTGACTGCGAGTTGTGATTTTGTAGAACAAGGCGCACCATCTGGCGGTTAATTGTGATTCTATAAAAGAAGACTATATTCAGGATGGTGGTGGCGGCTCTAAAGACGCTGGTGGAGGTGGTGGTGCAATGAAAATACGCCCTCCAGCGCAACACCAAATGAAAGGAACATACGATCCAAATTATCAGACACTAGCAGGAATGAACAACGACGAGGTCTTCAAAAGAAAAGAGGGTGGAAGCCAAGATGGCTGGAGGAGGCGCGAAGGTAAGAACACGGTCTTGTGATTATTATCCGCATACATCGTTTAAGGTGCCTTAGAAAATATCCGAAATAATGAAGGGTCGTACAATTACAAGCGTTAGTTAGAATATTTATTCATACATATGTCACCATCACCTGTCACCTGTATCACCTGTGCTCTCGTTGATCATCGAGTTCCTCGAGCGGGCGCCAGTAACGTCTCCATTCGTCCCTGCAACGTGCAAGAGTTGCCCAATGGACTCTCTCTCAGCTCGAGGGACACGATGAACTTCATACCATTCGTTCAGAGCTTTCACGAAAAAGTCTGACCAACGCATAGGCGGTCGTCCAGGCGTTCGCTTGAGATCCCGTAAAATGCATCGGTGTTCGCTCTGGCCCAGCTGTCGTCCTCTAAGCGCATGACGTGCCCGGCCCACCTGATCTTCGAAGCCTTGGCAAATGCGGCGGCGTCTCTGATCTTCGATCGTTGGCGGAGTGCGGAGCTCCGGATTCCCTCTCTCACTTGCGTGTAGCGGGAAACTCCGAGCATCGCCCTTTCGATGGCGCGTTGAATAACGCCCGCATGCTCATCCTGCTTTCGTAGAGTCCAAGTCTCTGAGGCGTACGTCAAGGCAGGAAGGACCGCGGAATCGAAGAGGTGGGCACGGAGCTTGGTGTTCTTCGTCTTCTTCGCTACTCCCTCGATGTTCTTGAAGGCTCCCCAAGCCGCTCGCTTCCTCCTGCTCAGCTCTGGAGCTAAGTCATTCATCATATTGATTTCACGACCTAGGTACACATAGCTAGAGCATTCAGAGATGGTCGTTCCGTTGAGCGTGAATGGGGCATCAGATACCAATCCGTTTCTCATGAACATCGTCTTCGTTAGATTCAGCCGTAGACCGATTTTTCAGTCGAATTCAGCCAGCATTCGTTCCGCTTGCTCGATGTTTGGTGTTATCAAAACGATGTCGTCAGCAAAGCGGAGATGGTGTAGTTGCCGACCGTCGATCTTCACTCCCATGTCTTCCCATTCCAGTTGACGCATGACGTTCTCGAGAGAGGCGCTGAAGAGCTTGGGCGAGATGGTGATGATCCTCTTGTAGAATGGTGAGATCTTGGTCGTGAAGTTGCTGTAGAGCTCACGAAGAATCCTGATGTACTGAGTAGGAATACCCTGGTTGCCCAGGGCTTCGATAACGCTTCTGTCTCAACGGAGTCGAAGGCTTCTTCAAGTCGATGAACGTGAGACATAACGGCATCTTGTACTCTCGCGATACTTCGATGAGCTTCGTTACCGTGTGGATGTGGTCGATGGTGCTGAATCTTGTTCGAAACCCTGCTTGTCCTGTTCAGGATGATTCGTGTGAAGAGTTAGTAGACCCAGACAGCAGGCAGATTGGGCGATAATTGCCAATGTCGTACAGGTCTCCCTTCTTGTAGCAACACAGTCTTGCGGGTTCTCCTCGATGTTAGTGCCTTACATCGACAGGTAGCGCGTGAAGAGTCGAGCCAGAGTTTTGACAAGAACTGGCGGAAGATTCTTCAGATGTTCGGGTCTGATCCTGTCGGGACCGGGTGCCGTACGATTCTTCACCGACGAGATGGCGTGTCGGACTTCGGAAGGGAGAACTGCAGGAACGACATATCCATCCTGCTCCAAGCGGTATGGTGGCAGGTGGACGTGGCTGTCAAAGAGATCCGAGTAGAAGTCGTGGATGACCTTCTCCATTGCCCTTCTGGATGCGGTGATTGTTCCATCCGGACGTCGGAGGGCGGTCATCTTGGTCTTACAGTTGGCGAAGTCGCGGCGGGCGTTGCGTATGCTCTTCCCAGCCTCTGCGGCTTCCACCAGTACTGCTGCTCTTCTCTCCTTGAGGTCTTCCTTTATCGCTTCTCTGCATAGCTTCGCAAGCTCAGACGTCAGCTGGTAATTGCCTGCGGCTCGTGCGGCTCCACGTTGGCGAATCAGCTCGAGAGTTTCCAGAGATAGACGCTTCTTGGTAATCTTGGAACTCTCTGACTTGGCGCAGTCGTGAAGGTGTGCGACAAGCCGTTCGTATTCCTCGTCGATGTTGTCGATGATGGAATCCTCCCAGAGCCCAGCGAGAGAAGTGAAGTGATCCCAGTTGATGACGGTCTTGGGGCTTCGCTTCTTGAACTTTGCGGCTCTCTCTCCTCGCATCGAAAAGCGGAATCTTGCGCGAAGGAGACGGTGGTCGGATCCCGTGTAGAACTTAGGAACAACAGCGACATCGGTCAGGCAAAACCTTCGATTGAAGATGATGTGGTCGATCTCATTATGGAATTGTCCACAGGACTCCCATGTCCAGCGTAGAGAGTAGGGCTTCTGGAACTGCGAGTTACCATGGATGGTATGGGTCGACATGATAAACTCAGACAGCCTTTCACCCTGCTCATTCCACTCCGTTCCGTGAGTTCCGATGTGAAGTTCTTCAGCCGTTCTTCTTGGTCCGATCTTAGCGTTGAAATCACCGACGATGACCTTGAAGAAGGTATGATCTTCCTTGTAGAACTTCTCCAATTCCATATAGAACGCTTCGAGCTCATCCTCGTCGTAGCTTGATGTTGGTGCGTAGGCGACGAAGATTGTCAAAGCTGGAGTTGAACCGTCCGATTCGGGTCGTCAGACTTTCGTACGAATCGATGTTCATGGCCAAGTGCGTGTTGACGAGGACGCCCACACCGCCAACGCCTCTGCTGTCGCATGTTCCGAGGAACAGTTCTTCTCCAGTCTCGTATACGGCGTGTAGCGGGCGATGCCTCCTCGTCTCGGTCAGTCCGATGACGTCGTACTTGATCTTCCTGGCTTGCAACATCAGATTTTCGATGTGAGATCCCGATGCAAGCGTTGCAGATCGTCATCCTAGTCTGGGTGACTTAAATCTCCGTTGGCCCTGTGATTCTTGCAGCCTCGCCCGAGCGGTCCCAGCCGACGTCGCCCTGTCGGTGGTTCCCTCAGGTTCAGGGGAATGAGGCCCATAGTTGTTACTGTTTTCGGCGAGAAGAAATTTAACCACGCGTAGCTCGCCAGGCTCTGACGTGGCACCCTCCGCATTGGTACGTTTGGAACAGTCCAAACCGTTCACCCCCACGCCACGTTGAGGCTGCGGATAGGATTTGTGGGGGTATGTCGCCATACAATGACGAAATGAGCATACTCAACCACGGCGAATATTATACTTGATCAATAGTACTAGGAATATTCAAAAAAAGTTGCATCATCTGATCAAAATTTCCGCTTTCGTTTTCATTACACATGGTCAGATGAACTTCAAAATTCCGACGAGGATAACGCATTCTTCTTATGTAAATTTTGTCCCAAGCATAGACCAACTGCTTCATCTGGACCCTTAGTTCCCAGCCTCTGGAATGGCCATGGTGGTTGGACGGCCATTGCTAGGACGATCTACTGTCCGTCTCCTCATGATCCACGCTGTTGGAAGCGGATTTTTGAGTGGAGCCAACCCTACGAAAATGACGGCCATCTGCGCTTTTCAATCCCGTTCCCGCGACTGGAAAACACGGATGTATTGATTTTCACGAGTTACTGTGAAGCGTAGCTGAAAATGTGCAATGAGGTCATTCATATTATAGACCAGTCGGATCGCACGGCTGACGCCGAGCTCTCCTCCTTTGTTTAGCTCGGCTTCGCCGAGCTGGCCTGGCTTCGCCAGGCGCACATCATAACGGGATGGAATTAGTTAATTGTATGAGCTGCTCATATTGCGCGGTAGTGGTCGAATCATAATAGACAGAGTAACCTAGCGAAATCTGCACCCCTCAGAGTTGCGGAAGGCGTGTGGTTTCGGCCATAACGCCCATTCTATACGTAGATCTCAGAAATAGATAGGAAGTACAGAATATCAATATATGTTGCACAGTAGATGAACAAATTCCGTTTTTATTACATGCATCATAACACCAACGATGGGCGATTAACTTGTCATTAACATGCAATCCACCTGCTAAGGTTGCATGAATGGCTGCAGATGACAATATTTAGGCAGCGTTCATTGAATATCTTACAAACTACTTCGTTATTCGTTCTCATCAGTGATTTAATGTTGAAAAGCAAAAAAAAAATATTTAAGTACTCACTCGAGCGCATAAATGCAGTGTTCAATATTGAGTTTCGGATTTCTCCAAACTTCCTGTTTCAGGCGAAGTATATACCCCCCCCCCCCTAGTGGGATGAGTACATTTTTTAGTGCTATCAGAGGAGTGATGGCTGTGGGAAAATTTCGCTTACTGAGAGGTTTTTTGGCAGTGTAGTGGTCAGAGATGTCATGAAAATGTCCCCTTATCTTTACTTATCAATTGATAAAATTGCTTGTCACTCGTCATCAATGTCGCTATCACTAAAACTCCATAATTTCGTGGTGTAGAGGCTTCAGCGTTTGATTGAACAACAACTGCATCGTTCTCTATCAGGCCCTATCAGCTGTTATCATTTCTTGCCACCCGCCGTCGCATTCTCCACCTTCCCCTTGATATCATTTGCTGAAATCAACGCCTAACTGATGCTGTGTACCGCGTTATGAGTATGTTGTCCTTTCCATTCTAACTCCCTTTTATAGCGGCTAGCAGTTCTTGTCACCGACATATTCCTGTGCCACAACCTATATCATACCTTGAAAAAACGCCCCAGTGTTCCAGTCGGACCGTCCCTCTGCTTCCTTCTCTTGCCCTCTGCTTCCTTCTCTTGCGCATGCTCAGATCGGGCTGAGCACGCGCAGGGGAAGGAAGCAGAGGGGGGGGGCGCCCAGTGCCCCCCCCCTCTCGGCCCCACCCCACCCTGCCCCCGCACGAGCACACGTCCAGCTGCCACGCCAGCAGCTCGTGCAATGGCTCGGAGTGTACCGAATGGTTGTCTTATATAGCGGAGGCCGATATCACGATCAAAACATTGGATTGATACTTCCGCACCGATTTGCCTGTTTGCCTAGCGGTCGTTTTCGCCTCCAGCGAACTCGAACCCGTGAAGCATTTTGCGGACGGACAGACATACATACATACAACATACAAACCGACACACAAAGTTACTGGTTTATAGAATAGAAGGTCATATGCAACATGGCAATCGGTCGGGGAGGGACGACCCCCGCCTCGCTGCCTTGGTCCACAAAGGGTGGTCGCTCCGTGATCGGTTTAGGAAGAAAACAGAGTTATGGAGTCAATCCATCCCCATTGATTGCGACCCGACTGAGTGTGGTGACAGGTCTGTGCACGGAAGTTAAGTTGACTAACGGAAAACCATGACGGCCACTCAGAAGTGAGCGTACAGCGTACTTTTCTTGCTGAGCTTAGCGGCTTTCTCTCGTCGAGTAATGGAATCTGCAAAGGAGATGGTGGTGCGATCCCGTTTAGATTTTAAGAACAACTGTCAGGCAGAACCTTCGATCGAGGGTGATGTGGTCGATCTCATCGTGGAATTGTCCACCAGGAGACTCCCATGTCCAGCGTAGAGAGTAGGAGCTTCTAGAACTTTGAGATGGTATGAATCGACATGATAAATTCAGATAGCCTTCTACCCTGCCGATTCCACCTTATTCTGTGAGTTCCTATGTGAAGTTTTCCAGCCGTCTCTTCGTCCGATCTTAGCGTTGAAATCACCGACGATGACCTTGAAGAAGGTATGATCTTCCTTGTAGAACTTCTCCAATTCCATATAGAACGCTTCGAGCTCATCCTCGTCGTAGCTTGATGTTGGTGCGTAGGCGACGAAGATTGTCAAGAGCCGGAGTTGAACCACATCTTCTCAGTCGCAAACGTTGCGGTCGTCAGATTTTTGAAGGAATCGGTCTTTAAGTGGATGTTGACGAGGACGGCCACATCGCCAAAGCCTCTGCTGTTGCATATTCCGGGGAACAATTCTTCTTCAATTCGCATGCATCAAGCGATACTCCTCTTCGCTGTCACCAATGACGTGGTACTTGATCTTCCTTGTTTGCATTATCAAATCTTCGATGTTAGTTCAATGCAAGCGTCCGTGCGTTGAAAGTACAGATCGTCATCCTAGTCCTGGGCGACTCAAATCTCCGTTGGCCCTGTGATTTAGCAGCCTCGTCCGAGCGGTCCCAGCCGACGTCGCCCTGTCGGTGGTTCCCTCATGTTCAGGGGAATGAGGGCCATACCCATCACTGTTTTCAGCGTGAAAAATTTGACCTCGCGTTGCTCGCCAGGTGACATCTTCCGTTTCGATTTGGAACCGTTTGAACTGTTCATCCCCACACCACGTTGAGGTAGCATTTAATGGGGAATAGCAAACAACAGTGCTCGTCAAATCTGAGCGTTCAAGACTAGAAATCGAATACGTGACCTGATTACAACATTGCAGGATGGAGGAGAGTTCAAGATACGTCCTCCTGCTGATAACCCTGCAGAGAAAAAAGGAATTTATGATCCGAACTACCAAACTCTGGCTGGAATGAATAATGATGATGTTTTCAAGAGGAAAGATGGACCTAAGGTAGGCATTTATTTTTATACACAAGAATTATAAATTTTTTCAGTCACTTTCTACATCTTTGATTTTTTTGCAGTATAGTTCAAATTTATGAAAGCTCCTTATCGCTGCGATCAGGACCTGCCGTCTGTCGCGAGGATCCTATCCTTCTTGTTATTCTATGAATCCAAGTTTTTCCTCCATTCGATTATTTGCTTTAGCGTTCTCATCCTTCCAGCTCCTTCTGTTTTCTAGATCTCTTTTTGCTTTTTCTTCAATTACATGCCACTGTTGCAGTAGCTCTGTGCACTACTCTCCTCATAGTTTCGAACATAGCACATCGATCCTTTTTGTTTGCAGCGAAAAACATTTTCCCCACTTGTCTGGTTGTGTAGGCTATAATATGAACCTTGTATAAGTTTATTTCACTCTCCCCTTATTGCTTACTACAATTCGCCTCTCTTTATTACCACTGCAACTCTGCCTTTGCTATAACTTCGGCCACTTTGACTGACGCACGCCACTGCACGTATCACATGGTGCACCCTATGTAACTGATCACTGAGAGAATATGTATAGGGGACACTTGATCCAATGAACAGAGCAACACGCCGCGTCCGCTACTGACATGATTGCATAGGTCCTTTAGCCCCTGCAGCTATTAAGCATATACTTTTCGTCAAATCTTGAGCTTAATAATCGAATCGGCTCTGATTCTGCTGCTACCGGGGAGGAATGAAAGTGTTCACTCACTAAGCCTCTGCCTTTTGATACCTGATCAATGGTCGTAGTTTCGTCGTCACGAGTATAAAGAAACCACGCAAAGTATGATTCTCATCAGCACTTGTCGGTCACTATGTCACACCCATGGCTAATCATCAATGTCCCCGCTCCATTCCATTTATTGCATCCTGGAACAACCTGCTACTGATGCCGCGACGCGCACAAAAAGTTTCTCAGAGCTTTCTCTACAACGCTGCCTATCAGCTCTTATCAGCTGATCAGTTTTCCCCATCCTAGGCCGAATATCACTTGTTGGAACCAGCTCCCCACAGCTAATGTGATGTGCGCAATCAGTTCTCTAGAGCTTCCTTTCTTACTCTTGATAAGCTCTTGATAAGCTCTTATAAACTGTTATTGCTACCTGTCACCCGCTAGTGATCCCGTCTGGCCCTATATAAACTTCTGTTATCACCGTTCCACTTGCACTCATTGTTAGACGGACGCCGTAAACTGGATGTTCCTCTTCTTCTTATGCACCTTTATCAGCTCTTATCAGCCGCTAACACTTCTTGTCTCCAAACATACATGTTTCAATCGTCCGTTGCCTTTATCAATTTGAGCTCTCTTCTGGCCCAAAGGAATTCATGAACTCTCGACCGAGCATAGGTACAGTCGCGCAGCAACCTTCAAGCTTAGCTGGCTACGCTTAGCAGAATGCTTCTTGTCCCTGACCGCTAGTGTCTTCACCTATTCAACCTTAACCTTGTTCTTTTTTACTCCTTTCCCTTCTGTCTACAAAACGTTTGAAATGGCTGGAAAGACCAGAAGAATGGAATAGGATAGAAAAAGAAGGGGATAATTGAACATAGAGCAGCTACATCTGCGAAATTCCAGGACGATGGCGGTGGTGGTGGTGGAGGAGGAGGAGGAGAAGAAGGTCCTCAAAAAATCAGAGCTCCCCAAGAGAAGCGAGTAGTAGGAACGTATGATCCGAATTATCAGGTCAGTTGCTTTGTTAGTAAGAGGGCGACTGTCAACTCACTCATCCTTCTCTTTTTTCCTTTTTTGTATTAATCTAACATTACCACTATTCTTGATCTGTTTTCGTCCCCCAGCAAAATAAGCAGAAACCTGTCCCACGTTCATATGCACGCCTCCTGGCTAACTCCTACTGTTTTCGTTACCTTTTCAGCGATTTTTTTCCTCCATTCCGTTTCACCTACCTTGGTGATTATCCAAGAAATTGTCGTGTTTCCTCTTCTCAGCAGTTGAGAGGAGGAGGCAAAGGAGGAGGGAAGATAGAAGGAAGAAAGGAAGTAAAAGAGCGAAGGGGAAGAAGAAAGGAGGGAGGAGAGAGACTCCGTGGTTAAGAAGTATCCTGAGACGTGCCACATCCCTTTGCTCACCCGACATAGGGTAAACGGAAATATGACAAGAGAATCGTAATTCGTCGCGCTAGCCGGCGCGTTGAGCAACGCCGCGCCACGAGAGGCGAATTTTCCCGCCTAGCCATCCGAATTTGAATATTGAATGGACGGTAAGGGGTGTAATTGAAGCGCCTCCGTCATAGGCGACTCTGACTGAGATTCTTCATGCTTTTGTTCTTGTAGCACAATCTGCTGTTAATGGCGCGACAGTTGTACGACTTGTTTTAATTTTATTTGTATGGAAATCACAGCTGATAAAAATATGCAACGATTCACACGAGTCCCGCTGCTTCAGTCGAGAAACTGAAGCACAGATTAATTTCCCGCGCTCATCGCCGCGTGACGCCCACGCTTCAAATTTCTACTGCCCATCGCCAGACGGTGTGCCGCAGGCGACGGCGCGGCATTGCAATCCTCTTTCCCGTCTCCCAGGGTAAACAGCAAAACTATACTTGAGTATGTTCCTGTGCGCGCGTGCAGTTAGACGCCAGGTATCAAAGGATAACAGCTTTGAAACTTGTAAAAGCCTTCAGCCTTGCGATTCACTGCCGATATTGGCTAACCGGCTCGCCACGTTGAACGTGTGTCGAAGCTGGAAAGCAATGACACAAATAGCCATTGAGCTGGGAGAGGAAGAGTGGCCCGGTAGCGTAATAGGGAACGCAAACGCACGGAAAGCGGAAGATGCGGGTTCGAATCCCGTCAGTGGTCTGACTTTTGCACACAATCACTAGGGAAGGATGGTAGGTCGAAGTGGCCAGAGGTTTGAAATGAAATGTATAACCACTGAAAGGTCTTTGGACGGTTACGAAACCGTCCCAGAAAAGAAGTTATGGAGCTTTTTAGGGGGAGCATACTCGCATTCAGTACGAATTGGTGGCGTAATATACGATACGATCGTAGCAGCGTGGTCGGGTGGTTACGTAGTAGGACCCACATTGCATGGTCAAGGATTTGGATCCTTGACGTGTGTGCTCTTTTGCATTTTTTCGAAAGTGGTCTCTGTGCACTTCAAAGCGATTTTGCATAACTCTTGTGCTTGATAATGTCGTGATGTAATGTTTTTGAACTGATGGAACCATTGTGAGCG